AGTCAGGGCCAGGCCTGTCCCCGAGCCCTGGGCCAGGGGTGGGCGGACCCTGGGGGCAGCACCTGTGCAGTGAGCCAGGAGGCCGAGGAGGAGGGGCGTCCAGGCCATGGTGGAGGCACCCCGAGTCTGCTCCCCGAGGCCTAGGCTGGGCAGGGCGCCTCCCAGGCCTCTCTTATCCCCTTGCTGGAGAGAGAGCTGCCGGGGGTGCGAATCAGCCGGAGCCCAGGGGGTCTGCCTGGGGAGCTCTGTGGTTTCAGAGAAGGGCTCAGTCCCCAGGGACACAGAGAGGGAGGGGTGGCCCCTGCAGACCCCGCCTCGGCCCGGGGGATCCTCCTCCACCTGCTGTCCCATAGTCTGGGGGTGACATCTCCAGCCCAGTCTGAGTCCTGGCCTCACTCCTGGACGGGCCTGGCCACTGAGAGCTCAGAGGTGGGTCTGTATTCTCTGAACTCATTCCACGGGCAACACTAAGAGGCTTAGACTGTACAGGATTCTCCCCCCTATCACAGCTCCTGGGCCCAAGACTGAATAAAATTCACAGTTTGACAAAGCACATGGAGTGTTCCAGGCCATTGCGGTGCTGTGTCTGCCCTGGGCTGTGAGCTCCTGGGGCTGTAGTGTCCCCGTCGTGCCCCAGGGACAGGAACAGACAAGGGGCTAAAAGAAATGTTTGCTCTGTGAGAGAATGAGAGGGGGCTTCAGGGTTTAATAACTCTGCAAGGGAATGTCAGTCCTAATCCATTTCCCTTCAGTTGCTGGGAAAATATATATGTCATAAACATCAAAATTACGGAAAGCTGATTGAGTGACTGCTGTGTGTCAGACACTGGGAAACAGGAAGTGTGGAAATTTCTGGTTCCCCCCTTCCCTGTAAGGGGTAAGCGGAGGGACAGGTGTGAGGGCAGTGGGAGAGCTTCCAGGGAGTAGGAGCAGCTGTGTCTGGAGGACAGGGGCTCCGAGCACAGGGAAGGGAGTGGCAACGTGTGGTCACAGGGAGGATGAGCATTTCTGGACAGCGGTGGCTTTTTAGCAGTATTAGGTGGGCTGGCAGTGGGTGTGGGGCAAGGAAACAGGCACCGTCTCCAAGAGCAGGACTTGGGACACACGGAGACAGAAACATGTACTTGAGAGTGAAGGTGACACTGTAGAAACGGAAGGACACTTGTCATCAGGTGTGAGGTCCTGGTTACTCCTTCCCCTGCACTGGAGCCCTGATGCCCAGGACACCACTCCTCCAGGTGGCTCTGCCGGGCTACCTCTGCTGCCCCCTGGTGGCTTCTCCACACTGGAGGCGGAGACTCAGTTCTCGGTATAGATTTCAGAGCCCACTGCTCAGGTGGTGATTTCCCTGATCCAGGGATGGTGACCCCAATCAGGATTTACTCCCTCTCCATGGCTCTGTCTGCCTCACGTCCTGGCACGAGGGGCTGAGATTACCCGTGAAGATATGAACAGGCTCATCTGGAAGAGGAGGGGGCTGGGCTCACGGAGGCATCCCTGCTCCTGTCTGTGGCGTGGTGGGAGGTCACGCAGGTGGGATGGGCAGTGGGGACACCTCCCTCAGGGGGTGACTCTTATTGGTGCCAGCTTTGGGTATGGGCCTGATGCGGGGTGGCGGCTACAGTTCCAAAGGCATGGTTAGGACCACACCCACTGGGAAATGTTCATTCAGACCCACTTTGGGCTGGCACATTCCCTCCAGGGAATTCAGCATGAACGGGACACAGTCCCTGCTTGAAGGGTGTTTCCATCCTGTGTGGGGGGCAGTGCAGGAGACACAGTGGCTTTGCACACCTGGCAGAGAATCTCCACCACGGTCACCTACACATTGCCTGCAGTGTTTATTTAAAAGCCAAACACTTGCTTCTTTCAGGTCTCTGGCTATCAGGTTTGACTAGGTGGCCCAGCACTGTTCTATGGGATGTAAGGGTCAGTTGGCTGGAGTTTATCTCGGGGAACTCTTGCTCTTGTAAAGGAAAGAAATAGCAGGAATTGACGCAGATCCTTTCCTCTTGAACATGGTGTGATAGCTGGAGCTGCAGCAGCCATCCTGAGGTCTGTCATCCACAAGAATGAAAGCAAGGCCAACATATAGGGACAAGGGACCTGGATGCTGGCAAGATCTTGGGTCCCACGTGGAATCTGTGATCACCCAGAGAACTTATCTTGGTGAGACTACAATAGGTCCCACCTGTTCATGCCTCTGCTTTTCATCAGTGAGTCCTGAAATTAAAAAAAAAAAAAATGTATTCCGACCAAGCAGGAAAAGTCTGAGCACAAATGCATCAGTTAACGAAACTAGTGATGGGGAAAGAACCCCATCGTGGTGTGTGCTGTGGGGATAATTAATCCAGAGAAGAGACAGACAATGACAGGCAGGCTGTTCTGTAATCAGAGGTTGGGGGCCTCCCCAAAGGGGTAACTCTGGAGCTGCCCTCAGGACTGGGGAGAACCAAGTAGTAAGAAGTGAGCGTGGGAAGGGCTGAGACTTGGCCAGCGGGGAGGAGTCGGGTGTGTTGGAGGATCTGAAAGGACAGGGCAAACTTGAGGGATCTGGGATGTAAACCCAGCTCAGGGCCAGTGTAATATGTTCTCTGAGTTAAGAATTTGAGGGGTAGAAGTGACATGTGTTCAGGTGGAGCAAAGGGGATTCACACGTAATAAATCCGGGTCTTTGCAGCTGCTTAGCACAGGCTGGAGCCCAGGGAGCAGGAACAGGATTGACACAGGTGGGTTGAGACAAACCCCTCGGCCTTCCCTACTTTACCTGAGGGCTGAAGACCTTCGGGGGGGTTACTAGTGCCTCTCCCCTGCCAAGTATCCACCATGCAGCCGTGCTGGGGCTTTAGCTGCTGCATGTGCCTCTGGTCCTGAGCCCTGTCTACTGTCCCGTGTGGCTGACCAGTCACTGCCTTCCATAAATGTCTGCAGATTTGCTTCTGTGACTGGGAGCCCAGGACTCGAGGAGCTCACTTGACAGGGAAAGGCAGGGGCTGAGAGAGGGAATGACAACGCCAAGTTCACTTGGGGGCTAGAGAGAAGAGAGATGTCTTAATCCCTAAATAATAGCCTCTTCTGAGTGTTCTAGAACCAGACTGGGCCAGGAGGGGGCTGTGGGAAATTCTCAGCCTGAATTGTAGATTCTTCCTGTCAGTTCTCCCCACTGCCTCTGGGGGCGCTGCTGCACCTCCCCTGGGGCCGTCTGACACCTGGGAGGCTGACAATGCCCTGCTCCCCGTGGGGCTGAACAGAAAGCCCAAGGACAACACACTCCAGATTCAAAGCAACGAGGGCAGCCTTTTCATGATCTCGCCTCTGGAGGAATCCTGGAATTACTGCTTAGGTCTTAGGGATTCGGTGCATAAAATACCATCTGTTGCTGGTTCATGGTCCATTAGTGTGACAAGTTAATTGTACATTTAATAATCTGTAATTGTCAATACTTTTTGAACGTAATTTTTTCCCATGTGGTTTCCATCCTCCAAATTAGACATCCACCCTCATGCAAGACAGGAGTGCACTTGGAGGAAACTTTCGGCTTTTCTTTAAAAAAAAATCCACAGGTGGCATTTTAATATTTCTAATGTGGACCTTTCCCCTGGAGAATCTAGAATTCTGTGTGAAGCAGGAGATCTATGTGCCATTGTTCAGGTTGTCACATGTTTGTTTAAGCATTTGCCAGGGAAATGGTCTTTGGGTGTAAATTCACTGTTTTCCAAGGTCACCCAGAAATTTCCTCATTGTACGTCTAAGAGTTTGGACACTGGCTTTTTTGTGTGAGGAAAGCCATGCATTGTAGGATGTCAAGGTTTTATTTCTTTACAAGAAGGAGAAACATATCCAGCCAACTGATGGGTCAATAGCTGTGCAAAAATCAACCCAGTTCCTCCCTGGATCCTGTTTCAGATGAAAACTAAGGCTTTGGTATAACAGGGGCGTCTACTGTGAAATTGGGGCCCTACTTTGAAACAGAATAGATGTTCTTGGTGGTCCCCATCACTTAAAACACCTAATCATAGGACAGCATGATAGTGGTGACAGTTTTCAGTCATCACTTTGGACAGAGAAATCGTTTTTTGCCAGTTTCTTTCACAAACATTCTCACTGTAGCTTATTGGTCTCCAATGTACCTTTTTATAAAAATTCAAGGGCAATCAGATCTAACTGGGGATTTTGAAGAGCACATTGTGGATTTAGGTGGGAAAACAGAGACTTGCGGGTATATATAACCTCCTCGGGACCCTGATGAGCATGTTGGGAACAGCTGGCTAACTTAGATCGGGTTCCCTGCAAGCTGATTCTGAGACGTTAAGTGCATGTCCTGGAAATCTGGAAGGAGATGAGGAGGGGAGACTGGGCAGAGGGGAGGGACCCGGGATTTGGTCACACAAATGAGGACCCGGGGTTCTGCAGGAGAGTTAAAGCTGGCCCATTCGGGTCATCCTAAACTGAGTCAGAGCCTGGGGATGGTGGCCTCAGGCATCATTCACCTGACCCTCTCTGACCAGGGGGATAAACTGGGGTGGGGGGCCATTTTCTGCACCAACAGCATTTCCCCGTGAGGGCACTGCTGTGAGTTGTCACAGGCTCCCAGCAGCTGTGGATGAGTAGACGAGGCCAGAAGAGAGAAGGAGGTAGATGCTAGAATGCCCACTGCTCTGGTGTGCTCCATTCAGAATCCCAGCTGCCATGGGGGCCTGGGGCTTCAGCATCAGATGGGATGGGACATTCTGTGGTCAAATCCTAGACAGTTGGGCCAAGAGGGGCCCAGTGACCACGACATGGAATTGTGGGGAAAACTATCACTGGAGGGATGTGTCCCTCTGTCTGTCCTTCCATACAGGGCCTCTGTCCGAAGTTCCCGACCTGGCCAGACAGCACTAAGACAGCCTGGTCCCGCCAGCCATAATCCACTCCTGAGCCCCCTGTGCAGAGCCTGCCTGGAGGGCTGGGAGGAGGGGCAGCCTGGGGAGCTCAGATCTGGGGGAACTGGGCCAGACCTGTCACTGTTTTGTTCATAGTCCTCCTGGGGCTGGAGGAGAGTGTGAGCCAGACGGGGAGGGGGTTTGTGTCTCACTTCCCTGTCTGCCTGTGTCACTGTGAAGATAATCACTGCTGTCAGCTGACCCACAGTAATAGTCAGCCTCGTCCTCGGCCTGAGCCCTGCTGATGGTCAGGGTGGCAATTTTGCTTGAGCTGGAACCAGAGAATCGGTCAGGGATCCCTGAGGGCCGCTTGCTATCACCATAAATGACCAGCACAGGGGCCTGGCCTGGCTTCTGCTGGTACCATTGAGCATAATAGCTTCCTAAGCTGTCTCCCTGGCAGGTGATCCTGGCCGTCTGTCCCAAGGACACAGACACCGCAGGTGGCTGAGTCAGCGCAGAAGAGGCCACAGAACCTGCAAGAGAGGAAAGGAGAGTGAGGGTGAGGAAGAGGGTCTCATCCCTGCAGCCTCATGCCCCCTGCGGCAGCTCCTGTGCTGAGCTGAAGTTCTGGACCAGGCTGAGCTCTGGTCACTTTTCGGGCTGAGCCTGGGGGCAGCACCTGTGCAGAGAGTGAGGAGGGGGAGCAGGAGACGGGTCCAGGCCATTGTGGGGACGCCCCGAGCTCTGCCTCTGAGCTCACAGCTGGGGTGGGGCCTTTGGGCCTCTCTTATGCTCAGAAGGGGTGTCTTCATGCAAATCTCCTTCCTGCCACCTTTGGCCTTGTGACCGGCTCCCTGCTGAGCAGAGAACAGCTGCGATCCAAGGAGGAGTTAAACTGGAACCCGAGTTCCAGGCCTGAGCCCAGGTCCCCAGAACTCTCTTGGTGCTGAGTGAGAAAGGCTGCCCCTGCCCCAGCATGTGCACACACCTCTCAGTCCGCTCCTGGGCTCCCCTCTGGGCCTTGGGGACACACAGGCGTCCTCTCTGGGGATGAGGTTATTGTGTGGTGGGCTGGACAGTGCTGGAAGCTGGCACTGTGGGGACCACGGTCATGCTGCTGCGAGAGCCCAGAATTCCAGCAGCAGACACAGTGACACCGGTCAGGTACATCTGGCAGGGTTTTTATTATATTTCTTTAAAGTTTCTTAATTTTTATTTTTCGAAGTATAGTGGATTTACAATGTTGTTTTAGTTTTAGGTGCACAGCAAAGTGATTCAAATCAACATATACATTCTTTTTCATTTTATGCTTAAAAATAAAAGGAAAAATGTCTTCCTTATCTAGACCTAGGCAAGAATTCTTGGACTTGACAATACATGCATGATTTGTGAAAGGAAGAAGATAAATTGAAATACATTAAAATGAAAAGCATATGTTCTATAAAAGTCCTTTTTATGGAGTTGAAAAATCCAGTAAAGTGGGAGAAAATACTTTCCACTCACATATTCATCAAAAAACTTGTATATACATTAAAAAATGTGTCAAAACTAATCAATAAACAAAACAACTAAAATCCAAGTGGAATTTGGGAAATGATGTGAACAGACATTTTTTCGGGAATGTACAGATGTCAGGTGAGCACATGGGAAGATGGTCCCCATGAGTCATTAGGGGAATGTCAATCACACCCTAAAGAGTTGCCGCTACACACCAGTCAGAATGGAGCAGATGGGCTAAAGTAAAAAACAGTGGCAAAACCAATGCTGGTTGTGCAGCAGAGGGACTGGTAGGACTATAAAGTGGTACAGACACCCTAGAAAACAGCTTTGCAGCTACTATGAAACTAAACATGCAATTACTGTACAATCTAGGAATTGTACCCTTGGGATTTTATTTCAGAGAAATGAAGACTAATGCTCCCATAAACACCTACACACAAGTGTTCCCCGCTCCTGTCTTAGTCAGCTCAGGCAGCCATGGAAAAATACCACCCACATGTTGCTTAAACACCACAAATTTATTTTCCAAGGTTCTGGAGGTCAGAAGTCCGTGATCAAGATGCCCTAATATTGTTTTTAGTGCAAGCTCTCTCCCGGCTCCCTGAAGGCGCTTTCTGGCTCTGTCCTTAGATGGTCTGTCTCAGTGGCTCACTCGGGGTTGGGGGTGTGTTTCTGGTCTCTTCTTATAAGGTCACTAATCCTATGTCCACAGGTGCGGACCAACCTGGGAGGAGATACCGTCCTCCACCCTGTTCATCAGTCACTTTCACAGACAGGATGACAGTTCTCACCCAGACCCTGACCCTATTATGACCTTGACCAGAGAGATGCCCTCGAATGTGTGTCCATCTCTCTCTGATCGAGTCCATAGGGGCAGGCCCCTCCCTGGTGGGTCGCCATCTAAGCACAGCATGGTATGGTCTCATCGTCTTCCCTTTTCCATCCTTGTCCTCACATCGTGCCGTCTGTCCCTCTGTGCGTCCGTCACAGGCTCCTGCTGTCTTCACTTCTTAGCAGCACAGGCCCCGGGGCGTGTGGATGTGGTGGGACCCGCATGGCGGTGGGTTTACTCACTGCCATCCTCCTGGCTCCCTTTCCTACAGTGTAAGGGGGACAGGACACTCCCCACTAGTGGGACCTGCAGGAGGCCTTGTTTGGGACAAAGTCACAGCAAAGCCTTGGAGAGAACAACCCTTTCCGGGATGGGGTGACAGGAGAGGGCCCTGTGTCCCCTGTGAGTCCCGGCAGAGTCGGGGACAGAGGTCACTGCAGGACGGAGCTCTGATGTCCTGTCCAGTCCTGCCCCCGGCCCCCTGTCCATCCCTCTCCGGGAGACCAACCGCCTCCTCCCCTCCTGCCCCCGTGGAGTCCTCCAGGCCACGGGCAGCTCCTGGACTTTGCCTCTCAGGCCTCAGTCACTGGGGGTCCGACTGGGGTAAGGGGACCATATTCTCCAGCTCAACATCCCCGTTCCCCATCCCTGCTGCTGTCCCAGTGGATGTGGTGCTGGCCGGTCCCTACAACGTCCTGTGGGTGAATGGGGAGCCATTCTTGGCACCAAAGCTGAGACCCTTCCCCAGCAGGAGAAGCCCGGCCGAGCTCCAAGTCTGTACTGCCACAGACACCCTTACCGCCTCATGACTCCCTAAGGACCCAGCTCTGCACCCACCATGGGGTCAAGGTTCCCATCCTCCCTCCCCAGATGCCCAGTGCTTCCTGCTGAGCCCTCAGTCCTGGCCAGGGGCCTGCTCTGCACCCGGGGCACCCAAGTCAGGACACTTGGTACCATGACCTGCATGTCGCCTCTGGACGCCAAGATCCATGTTCCTTCCCTGAGAGACTTGGAGTAGGGCCTGGGGGCTACTGGGGACAGGGTCATCTCAGCTCAGCCCTTTCCCAGTGTCCTGTTCTGCCCTGGGCTGGGCTGGTCTCTCCCAGCACTGCCCACACAGACCTGTGAGGAGGACCCAGAATCCCACCTCATCAAAACCACCTAAATTTTAATGTGTGTCTGCCTCTCCCTGGGGGTGACTCGGGGAGAGGTTGGGGGTGAGGGGTTTGCAAGGGGAAGACTCAAAGGTCAGGACTCCGGGGACAGACAGGGAGCAGCTCACCCTGGTGCGTGGGACGGAGGGCAAGGGAGGGAGGTTTTGGCCTCACTTCCCCTAGGTCTGTGTCACTGTGGCATCCAACTTGGCCGTCAGTGTTATAGCTGACACCACAGATATACTCAGTCTCGTCCTCAGACTGGGTGTTGGCGATGGTCAGGTAGCGGTCAGCCCCAGAGCTGGAGCCTGAGAAGCGGTCGGGGATCCCATCCCCCTTGGTGACGCTTCCGTCACTGGTCAGCTTCATCAGATACCTAGGGGCCTGCCCTACTCTCTGTTGATACCACTCAATGTAGTACGTGCTGTGCTCACTGCTCAGGGTGCAGGTGAGCTTGGCCGAGCCTCCCAGGGAAGAAGATGCAGACGGGGTCTGGGTCAGCACAGGCACAGCACAGAGACCTGCAGACAGAAATGCAAGGGTTGGCTGACGGCACTGACACTGGGCAGGTGACCCTCAGGACTGTGCTGGAGGGAGGGGCTGGGAGGCCCCCGCGTCCCTGGGCCACTCTGACCTGTGTTGAACAGGAGGGGCAGGAGGTAGAAGGGCACCCAGGTCATGGTGGGAGGTCCTTCTGCGAGCTCTGCACTGAGGCTGCCCAGCTGGACTGGCCTCTCCAGGTCTCTGTCTTATCCTCTCCCCTTGCAGCTCGCAAAGGGAGGAGCAGTGAATGCAAATCTACTCCTCCCTCCCCATCCTGTGTCTCAGCTCCTGGCTGAGCCCTGAGCCCAGAGGCCTCACGCTGGGGACTCCCTGGGGACAGAAGAAGGGCCACGTGTGAGTTTCAGAGAGACATTTACTCTCCTCAAGAGAGGTGTCTTCAAGGAAGCGTCAGTCATGCCCTTTGCACTTGAGCCCTCCCCAGGGGACATGGACCTATGAGGGTCCCAGCCAGGACCACAGTGCCCCTTGGTGCCCCCAGGATGGACGTCTTCCTACACATGTAGCTACTTTAATAGAATGACAACTTTTGAGCCCCCAGCATATGCCAGACCCTTGGTGAGTTTCCTGCAGCACCTCACCGGGCACCAAATAATCCCACAGCGCCCTCTGCTGAAGGCACAACCTCTCCCCAGTCTCAGGAGGAGGAGTAACCATTGGGACGGTAAATGATTTTCCCAGATTCCCCCAGACAGGGATGCATGGGTCAAGATTCCATCCAAGGGACTGACTTCAGAGCCTGACGTTTCAGCCCCCCCCCCCCCCCCCCCTCAAAACCCCCCACAGTTTCCTCCATCCCTACTCCAGGCCCCCTGAGCCCCTCCTGTCACCACCCTCTGTTCTGTATTCAGGTGATCCATATCCAATGTCACTAAAATATTCCTTATGGTCCACCTTTCCATCTAGATCTATTCACAAAATATAACTTTATGACTTGTGGGGTTTATGGAAATGATCTCCCTACTGAAAGGGATGATGTGACACTATTTACTTAAAAATGTACAGACTATTGTCATTCATTTCACAGACTGTAATAAAAATGTGTTTAACGATTCAGAACCACCTTTAAAATTGTAGTTGTATTTACTATCTTGCCTTTGGGAAAGAAGTCACATGGATACATGTATTAAATCTCCTCATTTTGAGGTACCCTCAGTATCCCTGGTCTTGGTGGAAAATGGCTCAGCAGTTCCTCTCCAGCAAAGACTCTGGGCTTGGGACCCTCCGTCACCTCTTGGTGTGGTGAGTATGTACTACAGGCACGGTTACCCCAAGGAGACCTCATCCATCTCACCTGCTCTGTCCAACATGGTGGCCACAAGCCAAGGAGGCTTCTGAACATGCAATGTGGGTGGTCGCAGTGAGATGTGCTGTAGATCTGAAATACCCAGCACATTTCAAAGATTTAGGAGAGTGTAGTGTAGAATGTATCAATATTCTAATATTTAATTCATATTGAAATGATATTTTCAAGTAATTTAGTTACGCAAAACCTATTATGGAAACTAACTGCATCGGTTTCTCCTAATTTTTAAAAAGCGTTTACTGGATAATTGAAAATGACATATGTGGTTCAAATAGTGTAGGTAATGGATAGGGCAGCACTGCAAAGTCACAATGTCAGTCACTTGTGTCTGAAATAGGAGAGAGAACTTCCTAGCACATTCAGGAAAGGCCACGTCTTAGCTTTGGAAGCACCATGAGAGGCC